GGCATGAATAGGGTATCTAGATGGGATTTCTTAACACCAGAACTGTTGAGTACTGTGTGCAGTTCTGGTTGCCCTGTTATAGGAAGGGTGTTATTAAACTTGAGAGAGAGAGTTCAGAAAAGATTTACCAGGATGTTGCTGGGAAAGTAGGGTTTGAGGGACTTTTTTTTCCACTGGAGTGTGGGAGGTTGAGGGGTGACCTTATTGAGGTTTACAAAATCAGGAGGGGCATAGATAAGGTGAATAGCAAAAGTGTTTTCTCTAGGGTGGGAGACTCCAAAACTAGGGGGCATATTTTTAAGGTGAGAGGAGAAAGTATTAAAAAGGATAAACCGCAGAGTGGTTTTAGTGTGGAATGAACAGCCAGAGAAAGTAGTAGACGCAGGTACTGTTACAATGTTTAAAAGACATTTGGATAAGTACATGAACGGGCAAGGTTTGGAGGGATATGGGCCAAGCGCAGTCAGATGGGACTAGTTTAGTTTGGAAACATGGTCAGTGTGGACTAGTTAGACCGAAGGGTCTGTTTCCATGCTGTATGACTCTATGACATTGTAAACCACTTGGATGAATTAAATCATCACCTTTCAAGGAGTAGCTCAGAATGGGAAATAAATGTTGGGCAGCTAAATCAATAAGTCCTCTTATCAATAAATCAATAAGCGCTCACCTTCCCTATAGCATTTCCATAGTTGCTCAGACAGTGATAGGTTGATTTCTAAGTCTCCACTCCCCTTTTAAAATCATGATAACCTACAAAAAGGTTTTGATTTTGATCCAATTTAGACAACTTTGATTACCAAAGAAATGTCATCTGAGCTAAAAGACCAGAGCAAATTCCTCCTATGCTTTTTTTGGCACTCGATAACTATTCTGAAACAACAAATTCACACTGGCCCGCAGGTTTGTCCTGTTAACTTGATATCACAGGGTTGTGAATTTTGTACTAATCGATTATCCATTCCTCCTAATTAGCTGCAGCTCATTAACTCAAACCCATCTGCTGATGGACCCTCACTGTATTGAGAGTTTGGTGTGGCTCTCGACAGGACATACAACAGAATTGTAAATCTGTTGCAAGGAATAGTTTTATGCTTTTGGCCGCATGGTGTGCAGAGGAAGTCAGTTCTCCACATCTCTTTCTCTCTCACTAGGCTGAGTGGAGGGGAAGCTGGGAGGTCAGCAACAGTAAAGGGAGCAGCAGGTGATCCTCCTGACTAAGATGAATGTTAAAAGTGGCATAAAGTGATATCGGAACAAAACTAGATAAAGATAGAAGATCAAAGATAGGGCATTGGGAGTCTGAGTGGTGTTCAAATAAGCAGGCAAGAACGAAATTGAGCAGAGACAGTTGAATGGATGATCATGATCTTGGTGATAAACCTGTTCCAGAGATTGTCAGTGACCACTGAAGGACAGATTGGAGTGTGTCAGGGGAGCTGTGGAAGGAGATTCCTGCTGCTAACGTTAGGGGTTCTTTTTGCTCTCTAGGATGATCCTTGAGCAACTGTCATTTTGGGAGGGGACTGCAAGAACTAAGTCGCATTGGATGTGAACAGGGCGCACCTTCAAAATCTGTGGAACATGGAGGCCATATAAAAGAGTACAATTCTAAAGGAGATACAGAAACAAAAGGACTGGGTATATACATGTGCGTAAATTAAACAGGTCAGTTTAAGGAAGCAATTAATGCATACAGTATCTTAGGCTTTATTAATAGGGATACAGAGTACAAGAGAAAAGTAGCTCAGTTGAATTGTATAAGATACTAATTCAACTTCAACTGAGGCAGTGTGCTCAGTTCTAGAGGTAACAGAATTGGAATAGAAGCCATTGTGGGAAATGCCCTGTCCATGACAATGGCTACATGACAAGGCAGCCAAATGGAAACCAAAGTATTTCCAAGTTTCAGGAGTCAGAAAGAGTTAAAACTGCAACTAGGCAACACTAGCCCTGGGAAAGGGAGTGATGGCCTGTACCCAATTCTGCAGCATTTATGGGAGAGTACTGACAGCATAAGTGCAAGGTCACAGAATATTACAAAGGATGGCATAGCCTCACTTCTGAGGTTTTTAGCATAAGACTATCACACAGAGTTGATGGATTAACAGCTGTTTTACGTACACAAGGAATTTCACTGTTACCAATATACGTCTAAGATACCAAAAATACTTTATGTAGAGTAGGTGTTGATTCTTTATTTATATTGTTGAACTTTACGTACACAAGGTAAGAGGTTCCATAGTATCGTATTTGGCAGTGGCACCACTTCAGAACCACTGAAAGGCTAATAGCAGCTTCACATCAGTAGCAGTAATTGTGGAAGGAGCATTCATACAACTGACAGAATTCTAATCCAAAGAAGATGTCCATTATTCTGAATTGCAAATACCCATATATAATGGTTGAAACTATTGATCAAAAATACCAATGGCATTTTAGCTGTTACTGAAAAAGTATCACAAGAGCTGCACAAAAATAACAACGCACAATGTATCTTGCAACATTACAGCTGGTGATCAGTTAACACAGTTCACTGTTTATAATTAAATATAAAAAATATTCTGTAAAGCATCAGTGGCAGATTTAGATTTAGCTAAGTCACAACACAATGGGTCCTTTGTTATAATGTAGTGATGCAAGAGGCTGGTGAACTTCAAACGAGAGAATATCTGGTGACCACATAACCTGAATCGATCTCCTTAAATACCTAAATTGCTAGGTGACCAAACTAGCTTCGCCCCTTGGAGCTGATACACCGCAAGTACTGCTGGAAAACATAGGAAGCTAGATTTCCAACTTGAAATGAAAGACTCAGCGATACCATCCCTTCTGGTCAGTGATATCAGGCTGCTCCTACTCACAAGCCAAGCCAAAAAAACATCCTCAGCTGAATAAACACCAAGTTTATTAAACTATCCGTGGTAAAGCTAGCAGAAGTTACTTTGAAGTTGGACAGTTATTTTTAAACCGCCCAAAGACCTCCATCAAGTCCCAGAACGCTTTATTTATTTTTAAAAGGACCCAGTTCAAACAGGACATTTTCATTGTTCACTGGAAATAAACCATTTTCAGCGAACCCGTGGCAGTTTCAAAAGATCCATTTCGGCATTTTCTGGTGGGCAAGGATGACCTCTTGCCTGTGGGACATGCTCACACAGTCCCGATTCCTGCTTCTCAAGTCAGTGGGTGAACACTACTGCTGATATTTCTGTGACAAAGTGCGGCCGAGGCTTTTGGAGAAAAGAACTGACATTGTCACATTCAGCCACCAACCTTACAAAAGACAGGCTGACAGCGGTGTCATATTAATAATCCACCACCGTGACTTCCACCGCCCCCTCGCAAACTACACCTTCCCTCTCCAGCTTCACTTACCAGCTGCATGAGTTGTGCAGCACAGAGATGCACTTTCCAACCCTGGGCCTTGCAGACAATTCCTTTCTGATTGGCTATCTCCTGCAACGTGGGTTTCTTCTCCTCTGCCATCAAAACAGACAGAACACGTCAGAAAAGGCACCAGTCAAGGTTATTAGACAGCAAGATCAAACTGGAAGCAAAGGGAAATTTCCTGAACTTATTTTGGTTCTCGTCAGTGGAAGTGAAATCTTCTGGAATATTTGAAGCCAGATTAGAAGCATAGCCCTGCCATAGGGATATGTCGAATAGTCTCCAGCCCTCAAATCCTGCAAAATCTAAAACAGAAGCAGACTTCTGACCTTCTGAGCAGGTTTTTTTTCCACAATTTAGCTGATCTGCACAAAGTAAACTTGAAAGAAAGTGGGTCATTTCTGTATCATTTTACTTTGCCTGAAAGGATATACACATTACATGAAAGTAATAGTGAGTCATGCTCCTTTGGTTTAGCTCACTTGGTGCTCTCAAGCAGAAGGCTGACTGTTTAAATATGGATTTCTTATCCAAGTTGACAGTCCAGTAAAATCCTGAGGCTGCTGCATCACTGGAAGTGTATCATGTATTATTAAATATTAAGCCAAGTTGGTCTATTTTAGTGGTTCTAATGTATTTTCAAGATACCTTGATAATACTTATTCTGGCAAACAGCTCTCCCAAAGCTATCACCATCACCGAAACATTGACTAACTGGATATTTACCCAAGATTTATGGCTCTTGCAACGTGCAGAATACATACATTTGTGGGACGGTTACTATATGACAAGATTACATGACGTCTCAGAGCCTGTCAACTAGACATTAAACTTTGCTATTACTATTCCACCAATGGCAACTGTCAATTGACAAGTGTCCTTCAAATAAAAGACCATCAAAACCAACATTTTACAAAAATTATGGGATATGGGCTCTGCTGGCTAGACCAGCATTTATTGCCCATCCCTTACTGCATTGAAAGGGATGTGGAATCATGCAATAAGTACCATTCTTGCATGCAGAGGCAGTGGAGGATCATTGCAACAGAATAATGCAGTTCTTACTGGTGTTCAGTAGGGCCCAATAGTTGGAGGAGGCAGTGGACTAGCAATCCATAACAGCCAGGCTAATGCTCTTAGGACTTGGGTCAGAATGCTACCATGGTAGAGGATGAATATGAACACAATAAAAATCTGTAAATAGCAGGTGGCCTAATGATCATGTAGCTATGTCAGTAGCTGTAAAAATCCATTTAGTTCACTAATGACCTTCAAGGAAGGAAATCTGCCATTCTTACTTGATCTGCTTATGTGACTCCAGACCTACAACAATGTGGCGGACTCTTAACTGCCCGCTGGGCAATTCATGACGAGTAATAAATGCTGACGTCCAATAATGTTTTTTAAGAAAGTTTCTATTGCAAACAGTTTACTTAAAATCTACTGTTTATATTATTATTATATTATCATGCACTAGATTATTATTATATTATAATGATATTATTATTTTTATTATTATATTATCATGCACTAGATACAGGATAGACGCACAAAGCACCTCGGCTGTGTACGTGTACATTGACGAAATAACCTTTCTTAAGAACACACGATGTTAGACAGCTTGATAAACTCTGTTCCAAACAGAAACCCATTTGATTTAGAAACATTCACTGTTCATATGGGTCCCTTCAGTCAGACATAGCAGGAATGAAAAATAAAACTGACCTTTGACTTTCACATCACTGTATCTCTGGAAATGATGGTAAGCTGCCTTCCAAGGGTTCCTGTAATGACGAAGCAACGTGACTGGGGGTCTAGGGCGTACAGGAACGTATCTCACACCCTCTTCATCTGCAACATAATATCAAGTTGGAATGAGGGGGTTGCAAAGGGTGAACAACAAACAATGCTGCAATCCCGATACACAGAAAACCTTAACCCACTATCCCAAAGCACATGGTCACAGATTCCACAAACACATGATACGACAATGCAGTGGGAACAAACGTGAAATTAGACAGACACAGGTGTACAGAGAAATATTGAGCTGCACTAGAACTGAAGGCATCCCCAGACAGTTGTAAGGTGTCAAATCACCTCTGACTGATTGAATTTTCAAACTGCTGATAACCAGGTCCTGACATTTATTACCCTACGTATTGAACTGTCTTCAAACATGCAGGGAGTAGAAAATTGCCAAGGAGATTTTATAGTTTACCTGTGAATGGGATCACACACTACAACTAAAAAACATTTTGAAGTCTCTGTGTAACTTTAATAAGTGACTTGAATAACCCTTCAAGTAAACCATTTGCCTGATTATTTTTATGGATGCTGAGACAATCAAATTAACAAGGACAAGCTCCATCATCAGGGGTGCAGACACCAGTCCTGCTCCAGGGTGGGGCAGAATGACCAGCGCCATTAACACCACTCCCCAGCTCCAGGGCGTAGAGACCAGCCCCACTCTGTACCTCCCCCATTCCCCCAGGGCTACAGACGCCAGCCCATTTCCATTAATCTTTCAGGCACAGAACTATTTTACCTATATATTCTTTGGGAGGCGATTTCCTTTTCTCTGCTTTAAGGAGTACCGGCTTGCTGGTGCTGTTCTTTTCTTCGTCTGTGCTGTTTGTTTCCATCATTTCGCTCTCTTCTGTGGAGATGACATGCTGCTGTTTGCGGGGTTTCTTCCGAGGGGATGCACCAGGCAGCAGTTCATTACCAGGAAGACCAAGGTTGTTCACCATTGGAGTCAGAGCAGCTGAGCTCACTGACATGGACTGTGACGACGAGACCGTAACTGGGATTAGGGAAGGAGAGGGAAGGGTGGTGAAAGAGTGAGGGGCAGAGAGGGAAGCAAAGGAAAAATGAACAAACACCTTCAAAAGAGACAACCATATGACCATTTACCACACTCTAAATGAAAGCAAACAAAATGCAGGATCCAAGCAATCTTTCCTAAGGCCCTGGCCACCCCATTCTAAAACATCAATAAATTCACTAGAATGAAATCTTTCGATTAAATGGGGAGGGGGGTGTTGGCTGCTCCCTCCCATGGCAACGCACCTGCCGCTTATTCAACAGTTTCACACAATTGCACGGCCAGCAGAAATGGACTATTGGAATCCAAATGCACTACAATACAATTTTCTCCGCTAATACTCCTCTCTCGAAGTCTATTAATTCACTTATTCTTCCTCAATTGATGCAGAATATTGCAATCATGTGTTTAAGAGTTCTTGTGCAAGTCTGCAAAGACAAATCAGTGGCAAGTGTGAACAACTCGACATTTACAAAAGGGCAGTCTTTTTTGACACTTTCCTGAGCCCTGATGCTTCCTGGCAGGCCACAGAATACTGACCTTTAAGCTACTTTAAGATGTCTCTCCTCTCCCACCTATACACCAGTTAAAAAGCATTAATGCACGCAATACCCAGGCGGCAGGAGAACTCAGTGCACTAGACAACTGTTCAAATGCATTTTCTAGCAAGTATTTGACTGAATGTGAACTAACATCCATGAGGAAGAGAACTTCACTTACCCGACACTGGCTGCAGTGTGTCCACAAGCTCGCTCTCTTGTTTGATTTTAGCCTCGGGTAATGCTGAGCTCATGGAGACAGGAACAGAAATGGCGACCGGCTGCGTTGGAGGAGCTACCACTGTGGCCATGGAGACTGAGCTTGAAGGCGTGGCAGAGACAGCCGCTGTAACAGTTGACAAGGCTGTAGGTTGAGCGTGAGGGGCTGCAGCTGCAATGAGGGTAGGGATTGGTGGCTGAGGCTGCTGGGAATTCGGCTGTCCCAGCACAGGCATTTGCTCCATACTCTGGCTGCTGACCGCCTCCATGGCAACAGCCACTGGCGCAGTCATGGAAACGTGGATTTCTGGTTTGGTTTTGGCACTGAAAAGGGGGGGGGGGGGGGGGGGAAAAATAACCGAATCAGATTAAAACATTGCAAAAGGAACATCATTTGGTTCTTATCCAGAAAGGATCAGCAATGGCACTGACGGTCACAGAAACACCGAGTCAGAGGGACGTGGATTTAAGCCGCCTTCCAAAAACCCAAGCACATAAATCTAGGCTGACACACCAGGGCAATATCGAGGGAGTGTGTTGCAGTATTTTAGATAAACCAAAGCCCTACCTGCCGTCTAAGAGGGACATAAAACATCCCATACCGTTATTTCAAAGACAACCAGGGGAGATTTGCCCATTGTCCTAATCGATACTTATTCCTCAATCAACATGACTGAACCAGAACATCTCGACAGATTGCTATTTGTGGGAGCTTGCTGTGCCCAAATTAGCTGTTGTATTTCTGACATTTCCAAGGCATTCAAAGTACTTAAGTATCTGTAAAGTGCTTCAAACATGCCCTGAGATTGTAAAATTAATGCAAATTTATTCTCTCTTTATCTATCGGGGTGCTGATGATCTAATGTCTTACTTGCATATCAAACATCAGTGTGCAGAATTCTGCCTGCATTAGGTCAGCACTCTATGGGTTGAAATTTACCCTGCACTCATTAACCTCATCATACGTAGTGAATCCTCTCACTAGAGCATCACTACAAATCCCATTGAAGACACACAGAAGCGGCCAAGCCTTATGATCTTACACAAGGTGCCGGCAACCTGTGCCTGCCCCTAATTTGATAACCTGTCAGGATCTGGTAAATGAGCAAGATAAAACCAGCTTCTTCAAACAGACTGTTTAATGCATGTCTGTCACTCGAGTCATTTCTTTACATTGTGCTGAAGTACTTCAATTGCCTTACAGGTACTGATCACAGCTCCAGGTTTCACCTTAACATTGCCTCCAAAGTCAGCAGCAGAAAATCCATATTCAAGTGTCTATTCTAATCAAAACAGAAATTTCTGGAAAAGCTCAGCAGGTCTGGCAGCATTTGTGGAGAGAAATCAGAGTTAACGCTTCGGGTTCAGTGACGCTTTTCCAGAACAGTTCAGATTTCTAGCATCCGCAGTTCTTTCATTTTGTTTTGTCTATTCAATCTCTTCCTTTCACCAGATCTCCTTGTTGAACTAGGGAGACACTGGTAACAGTCAAAATAGCCTAAGTCTTGACCAACAGGCCAGGCAGCATCAGAGGAGCAGGAAAGCTGATATTTCGGGTCGGGACCCTTCTTCTTTCCTATTATCTCTAAGTCTTGACTAGTTGGATAAACCTAATACATTGACTGTTACCAGTATTAAAAACCCAGGATCATCCAGAAGGTTTTGATATTTGGGCTGGATCATTAATCAGATTTATTTTCTCTCCCGTTACCAAGTCTTGACCAGGAATGCTCCTGAACCCAAGGGCCGAGACTAGCTCGGAATAATTATCTACCAAGAACAAGCACGACACCAAACAGTGGTCAAACTCGGAGATTTTCTTAGTCTAAAGGATTCTGACCATGCAGAGAATCCTCAGGATATTTATTATGAGGTGATCTGTTATGATACAGGAATGACCAACACTTCAGATACTTGTCTCTCTCAAACATTGGAGCAAAGAACCACAGACGTTGAAGATTTTAATTTAAAACATAAAATGCTGCAAACGTTCAGCAGCTGTGATGGAACCTGAGCTGTCAATGGCCTAAAACATTAAAACTGTTTCTGTCTCCACTGATACTGTCAGATCTGCTGAGTATTTGCCACATTTTCTGTACAAGATGCAAGAGCTTGAAAAACAGAAAAAGTGCACCCAAAAAAATTCCTTACCCAACTGGTCGTGGGGATCCTGATGCATTTCGCATTGTGCCATCTAGTCGAGGGCTTGTAGCCTCTGTTGGCTGTGGAGGAATGAGGCTTTTTCGGACAGCCAGGCTGCAAACAAAAAAAGAGCACAAAAAAGTGACAATATCTTGGTGAGCAAGATCATTGCTCGGTTATTTTAGGCAACACAATGTAAGCCAGGGGCCCTAATAATGAAGTGGTGATTAGAAGTGCAGTCGCAACTTAATGGCATTTCAAATGAAGTCCAGCTGAACAAACATACCGAAGGTCAGAGGGCCTCAGTAGAACATGAGACTCCAGGCAACCAGATCAGGTGTGTTGAAACCTGAACAAAATCATTGGCTCCAACATACCCAGACTAAGCGTGTGTGCACTAAACCAAAATTCATTGGCATCGCTTTCAGGACAACTGATCTGCCTAACAAGTCAGATAAAAATCTTTTCAAAACAACCACATCAACCAACCTGCATAAAACTTTAACAATGGCACTTAGTTGAGTTTGTTTTGGCTAGGGGAAACTTATTTATTGGTTGTGGCTTAGAAATCTGCTGCATGGGAACTACTTTCAGATGTGTGAGGTATTGACAGCATATGGATTATTTGAGACTGAACAGCATTTCCAACGTTGGGAATGTCAGTTCAGTTGCTATATTGAGACCAGCAACCACAGAATTGCCACCCCCCCAGGATCCTCGAGAAGGTTTCTACACTCGGATTGGGTGATTTCAGATTTATGTTCTCTCTCATCTCTTAAAACGTACTGACATTACAGAAATATGATGCTCAATGCACATTAGTCAGGATTGACTACACGTCCTTAAGCATCTGATAGTTTTCCTTCAGCCTAACTTCAAATCACAACTCCCCTGCAATCTCTGTCCCTATTGAGCTGACCAAGTATAACCAGCTTTTTAATCTCTCTTACCCATCAGAGGCAGGCTTCTTACGCAGAATGCTGGGCCGTGGAGACGATCCCTGTGCTGGCGCAGTCGAACTGCTGCTCTGAGTGTGGGTCTGGATCACCGTGGTCACAGCAGGGGTTGCATTGAAAGTGCTGATAGGATTTGCTACTATGGTGGCTCCATCTGTTAGCACCACTGCTGAGAAACAGGCACAGGTAAGTAGTAACAGACTTGCAAATCCAACACACGCCAAGCTCAGGGACATTTGACATTTTAGCTAAAAAGAGCAATTGGTATTAAACAAGTCCCACAAAACAAAAAGGGGAAACGCAGCAGGATGATTCAAGGATCACACTATGAAAGGGTGAAGTCCTCATCATTTGAACCCTGAAGCTGTTTTACACCTATATCCCATACAACAGTAATTACTGTCCAATTTGCTGTTTGTGCAATGAGAACACCATTCCCCATCTCCACTGCTCAGTATTTTGTGAAGTGATCCTGGGCAGCAGGTCCTTGGCCATAGGTAGAAGCAGAGCACCATGTATCTGATCAATTCACAATGGAGAGTGCAAGTGCTCTCTATTCAACTACCTGTGACCCTCTTGGCAACGTCATCGAAACTTTTCCATTTCTACGTCTCTTTCTACAATGTCCCAAAAGCAATTACAACAAATGATCCCTCTTTTCAACTGGAGTCACTGGGGTAAATTGGGAAATGTGGCTGCCAATACACACAGAATCCCAGAATGTGATAATGTCAGGATAAACAGCTTTAGTAATTTTTTTGCAAGCTAAATATTTCCCATAGTGCTGAAGTGAGAGAGAAACCACACTCCATGACTTCAAATTAGTGCCATCAGATTGTTTACGTCCACACGTGAGGCAGACAGGGCCTTGAGAGATAGCACTTCAGATAGTCCAGTATTTCTTTACTCATGCCCTGAGCGTTCCCCAGACTTTGTGTTCCTGCTTTGAGTGGGACTTGAATCTCACTTCTAACGTAACCACAAGTGACAACATTTAGTTCCCTAATGCACTAATGATACCCACCAGCACCACTCTCAAGTCCTCTAATATCTGTCAGACTTACAGGTAGTAGGAACTGCAGATGCTGGAGAATCTGAGATAACAAGGTGTAGAGCTGGATGAACACAGGAGGCCAAGCAGCGTCAGAGAAGCAGGAAGGCTGACGTATTGGGCCTAGACCCTTGTTCAGAAGGGTTTTTCTGATGAAGGGTCCAGGCCCAAAACGTCAGCCTTCCTGCTCCTAGGCCTCCTGTGTTCATCCAGCTCTACACCTTGTTATATCTGTCAGGCTGCCTGGTCAACATTCAGTTTCGGGATTAGGCAGAATTCTTTTCAAGCGAAGCGTTGCTGTCTGACCCTACCACAAACACTGTTCGCTCATCATTGTTTCAGCATCATCAATTTATAGCCATGACTTCAGCTAGTTAGGTTCCAAGTTCCACAGTTTCCTTCCTTAACCTTTCCACCTTTGTGTCTTTTTCTCCTTTAGGATCCCCTATTACACATATCTCTGCCCAAGGAGATCGTCACCCGCCCAATGCCCCCTTTTCCCGGCAATTTTGTCTGACAACTTTCTCCTGTGAAGTGTGGCATTTTACAACATTAAAGTCACTGAATAAACTACAGGTTTTCCACCTGGATTATCAGACCAGTAACATAGGCTCTGCCAGACAACAGATAAAATTTATTAATCCTTCCTTATAATTAAAATTATTAGGAACACATAAATGAGCTATAATATGCCTCCAGGCAGCTAGGGCTAAGCTCAAATAGCCAGGCCAAATAAATTACACAAAATAATAAGACAAATCACAAGAATCAGAATTGCACAGCACAGGAAACACCCATTTGCAAATTTGTTGGAAAAGCCCAGCAGGTCTGGCAGCATCCGTGAAGGAAATAACAGAGTTAACGTTTCGGGTCCGGTGACCCTTCCTCAG